GGAGATAGCAACTTGAGGTAAAGGAAAGGAGACTTGCCCAAGATCATACCTATGTCCACTGGCATTTAACTTTACATTTTCAGGGTCCCATTCTGGTGCCTTAACCACAAGGCCATCTATCTTTCTAAGCACTTTTCTTCTATTTTACCAAACTTCTTATTCATTTCAGTATGAAGAATTTCTTATTCATTTCAGTACCTGAAGAAGAGCTCTGTGTAACTCAAAAGTTTGTCTCTTTCATCATCAGAAGTTGGTCCAATAAAAGATATTACCTTGCCCACTGAGTCTCTTTAATATCCTAGGACCAATATAACTACAACAAAAGTATGGTGGACACTTTAAACTACAAGATTTTATTGTTCCCTTTTTTGTTTTTAAAATTGTGTTTGTAGAATGCTGGCATGTTCTTTGGGAATGGATGAACCAATTCAGTGGAAGAAAGAACTCACATCTGAAGAGTGGATTGTGCCCACAAAAGCTCATGATATCAACTACATGTTTTGTTAATCTTTAAGGTGCTGCTAGCCTACTTGGGTTTTTTTTACATTTTTCTAGGTACAGACTAACTTGGCTACCCTTCTGAAGCTTTCACTCCTTTAGTTGATTCAACTTAACTCTTCTGAATGTTCCCGTGTAGACAAGTTATTGACATGTGAAGGCTAGAATGCTTATCAAGCCAGTTCTGAACTCTGCCCCTGTTTCAGTTCACTCATCATTAAAATTTATATTGGGCAAGTGATAAGGTGTTGTCAGTTCAGCCCATCATTTTGAAATAATTTTACAGCTTCACAACTTCATTAACAGCTTCACTAAAATTGACATGTCTCTCACTTTTGTAAATGCTGTTTCATTTGGTTAGTTGGCTTTTAGAAGGAATTAAGTATACTAAATTATTCTTTAAATAATTTAGTTGACATGCCATTTGTGCAAGAGACAGCAAAAAGAGATTTTCTAAAATGCCTTTGTTTTATTACAGGGCTTAGATGTATTACAGTCCATGCTCTCACTCATTCCTACTATGCCACTTGTAAAAACTCTGTTTGTGTCTTTAGAGAAAAATGTAAAATAGTATTAATTTGTAGTCCATACACAAAATGCAGTATTATTTTTGTTTTCTTTAATGACTAACATATAGTGCAAGTTTTCGTTTATTCATTTAATTTAAAATGCTGCCATCCAGTGGTTATTTTGTGTATAAAACAACATTTTGTTTCATGTCTCTTTAGCTATTACAAATTATTTTGTTTCAGTTCCCTAGACATGGCCATCTTATAACCATTTTATGGAGAAGCAGGAGGCATGGGGTGTTAGAATATTGTAGGGACAAGTACAAGAAATTTTAAAATTCATGATACTGTATGTGATGCTATCTCACCTGTTACAGTATTCGAAGAGTCAGATTTCCATAAATTCTAAGCTTGCAAAATTACAAAGGCGATGTGAGTTTCAAATATTTAACAGCTCTTAAAATCAGAACCTTCCTGTATAACTGACAAAACAATTATTTATCCTTGTGTGTGCAAAACATGTCTTTTAATTAAATATAATATTTTTTTAATTAATAATATTATTTTTATTTCTAATACAAATAGCATTAGAATAGATCAAATTTGGGTACGTAAAATGATGTGTCCTTGAACAGAAGCCCATAAAATTATATGTTTGTGGTTGAATATAGGGATGTGTGTGTATATGCATACACTGTATACAAAACTTATTTCTATCACCAAATGAAACAGATTAGGATTTTGCTGGTGAAGTTATATGGGGAGCAGATGCACACAGCTATAAATTTATCCTTTTTGCAGAATCACTTTTATAGTAATTATTCTTTTAGGAGTATATTAAAGTATTCTCTTTCTTCTAGGGTTGCTATGTTGGCTTTGACCTGGCTCACGCTGTTGGTAATGTAGAATTGCAACTACATGACTGGGGAGTAGATTTTGCCTGCTGGTGTTCCTACAAGGTGAGAGTTGCTCTAGCATTTTAAAATGTTTTTAATAATTTTGTTTCACTAAGGGATGGGCAAAGAGGTTCAGATTAAATAGGAATCACACAGATCCGTTGGACCAAAATTCAAAGAGAGTCTTTCTCTAAGGTATAAATGCAAATATCATGGTATGATGGTATGATGTTTTTTAACACAAACCTGAAGAAATAAAATATTTAACAAATATCTATTTTCACTAGGGTCACCACTTTAAGACAATTGATGAGGCCAAAAGGCTACAACTAAAAGCCTTATTGAAATTGTAGAACCACTCTGTCTTTTATGGAGGGAGGATAAGGGAATGTAGCATATAAGAAATAATGACAGCAAAACATATATGTTGCTATATTCTTTACAGTATTTAAACTCTGGAGCTGGAGGCCTAGCTGGTGCCTACATTCATGAGAAACATTTCCAGACAATAAAACCAACGTAAGTATTTCTACATACCAGAAAAAAAACCACAGGGGTGTTGTAAAGTTTAAATGGGAAAACACTTCTCTTTTCCTCTGTCAGACATATGATCTTGCCTTTGTGACACTGCAGATATACTCTGTTTCTCTGACAGAGGATAAGATTTTGGAGGTTCAGGTTCCAGGGCCATCTAGAGCTGGAGTTTAATATTAAAAGATTCCATAAAGTTTTATTTTAAAATGTAAACTCTGAATCCCTTTCATACACCTGGCAGAAGTTGGTCCAATAAAAGATATGGTCCCACCCACCATATCTCCCTTTAGAGTTAGACTTTTTGAAAAATCTTAGTCTGTAGTTGGTGAAAAAAATAAAAGACTGTTTTAGCTCTGATTAATAGTTCTCTAATAGTGGCATGTTTTCATTAAAATTATATCTGTTTTTAAAGCTAGGAAGAATTACATGAATATCTGTTTTCTCAATAATTTTATAATTCATCAAAAGCTATTTTGTATTCTTCTAAGAGAAGCTGGCTGCATACAAAGAAATAGTTGTTTAAAAATGTTAAATTGGTGCTGTCATTTTTAAAATAGTCGATGGTGATTTTTAAAACATCAGCAAATGTAAACATATCTTTTCTGTTGTAACACCTGGAGAAATTGCTGGTACTTATTTTTATTTTAGTTGGGTCAAAGTAAACTAAATCAAATTTCAAGGAGAAATATTATTACTGTAACCAATTGCATTACATTATGTGTGGCTCCTAGACTGTCTAGACTCCTAATAGATAATAAAATAATGCTGATTGGTTCTTGGAATCATCTCAACTGCTCACAACCAAAATCTTATTGCAGGGCTTACAGTCATTTATGAGCTGATCTTCTCAAGTTTTGATTTGCTTGAGATAATTGCCAGGAAAACCGGATGTTCATCTGAATCCATCAAGTACTTCCTTCCCCCATTTTCAGACTTCCATCTTTCTTTTCCTCTGCTGAACTACTTGCTGTTTGGCATCTCTCTCTCTCTCTCTCTCTCTCTCTATGGCTATGTCTAGACTGCAGGCTTCTTTCGAAAGAGGCTCTTTCGAAAGCATCTTTCGAAAGAGCCTCTTTCAAAAGATTGCGTCTAGACTGCAGGCGGATCCTTCGAAAGAGAAATCCGCTTTTTCGAAAGAGAGCACCCAGCGAGTCTGGAAGCTCTCTTTCGAAGATGGCCTCTTTACATTGAAGAACGCCTTCTTTCGAAAGAGGAACTTTCGAAAGAAGGCGTTCTTCCTCGTGAAACGAGGTTTACTGCCATCGAAAGAAAAGCCGCGTTCTTTCGAATTAATTTCGAAAGAACGCGGCTTGAGTCTGGATGCAGGGGAAGTTTTTTCGGGAAAAGGCTACTTTTCCCGAAAAAACCCCTGAGTCTGGACACGGCCTATGTGTCCTTTCTCTGTCCCTCAGAAGATTAACTCATCTGATCCAAAAGATGCATCTTCTTTTCCCTGCTTCTCATTCTTCCAGTCAGCATTCAAGTCTGAATAAAACATGCTACCCTGCCCCATCTCTGAGCTTTTCCATCATTCTAGGCCTGGTCACCTTTTTATGGTCCTTATGGAGTTGTCCAACAGGACATACAGAACCTCCATCTCTTCTTGCTGCTGTGTTTAGGCTTCAGTCCCACATACAAACAATGTACTATAGGGCCAGTGCAACAAGGCCTGTTGGATTCTACACCAATTTTCAAGCCTATCTGTGGTGGGTGGGAGGAGAAAAGGGTAATGGTCTAATTGGAGAAGATGTTGAGGACATGAGAGAGGAAAGGGACTTTATAGTGAGCCTTCCGGAGACAAAGTGGGAGGAATGGTTTATGCTGAGTGAATGGAAAAAGAGATATGCGGCTCAGTTTTTGAAACCTTGAACAGTGCACCAGCTTGGCTTTCTGGAATGGGAGAAGATTAGAGTCTTATTGAATGAACCAGTTTCCCATACATACTTATTAAGCCCTGTACTATGTCTAGATAACTAAACATTGTTAAATACAAATATATCTTCATGTTATAAACCTTTCCAACCTATAACTCAGTTAAGAAGATTTCTGCTATATACATTGGAACCAAACTCTAAGCACTGCAGAATTTTTCCATTCAGATCAGGATCTGCACCTGAACTTTGAGGTGAGCACCTAGCTTTATTTCCATGAGAACCTTGAGTTAAGACAGCCTCAAATGTTGTAGATGTAGAACTTCAGGTGCAAACTTTGCAACATGGGATTATCTCTCACGCAAGTTACTTTAAAGTAGGATAATGCAAAGTCAGAAAAGCAGGACAGTGGAAAAAATTAAGACTAGGCTACAACCCTAAGTTTTCAGATGGATTTTTTCCCCTCATGTTCTTAATAGCAACAGATAGTTTGTATGTGCTGAGACTTGAAGATCAAATTGTTTGTTGTTAATATATCCAAGTTGCATTCCTTTTTCTCTTTTCCACAATACCCAGCCATTTTAGATTTCCAAATAAAGCAGTGAGACAAAGGAGAATTTGTCTGTCCAAGTATTCAGTTTTATAGCTGATTTAAATGTAGAACAATTTGTTGTATGATGTACAATCAAATAGAGTGGAATTTAACTGCTATTGAAGTTGCAGATTTTATGCTGTATCTAAAAAGTCTTTAATCGTCATTTGAATCAAGGATGACACCCAGTGGCCAGACAAGTTCATTCAAACAGAAGCCCCGAATATCTTTTCATTTCTTTGTCTTTCACCTGCTTCTCAATTAGGTAATTAAATTTCAATCCAGTTGATGTCTGTGTCATTTAAATGGTTTAGTTGGTTGTTTTTAAATCATGGTCAGTATTATATGGACCACTTTAACTACCCATGTTGATTCCTTTAACTTATTTCATCCTTCATACTCAAATTATTGAATAGGTAATCATATTTATCAAAATATTTAATTGCCTTGTAATATAAAATGTACCTCCTGGCCATCTTTCAATGATGAAGATCCATCGTGTATGCTAACAGACCTCTGGCTTGTAATTAGCAAGTATATAATAGAAACCAAGATAAAGCAGGGCATAGAAAAGGTTTTGTTGTCCTAAAAAGTTTTTCCTGTTCTACATAAGCTGAAACTGAGACATTTCCCATCCCAATTCCATTCTGCCTGTGGTAAACCGGGATCTTGACTTAAGATCTTCCACATCCCATTAACCATCAGGTGACTGGCTATTCTATGATTAATCTCTTTCAGTCTTTCCTTTTGGAACTGTTCCACTTTGCATATATAATTGAACTGTCATTGTGTTTCCCACATGAATACTCTTTCAATATCTATGGGATCTTTTTAGAATTCAAATTGATTCACTCAGGTTAGCTAAGATGATTTCCCCCCATAGGTATATATGGATGGTTAGATAAAGAGGTATGGTCTCAGTCAGAGCAAGGACTGTGTGTCAACACTGAAGTTTTCCCTAAGTTTGGGCTGAAACAAACCCAAATATTCAATGTTACTTTTTTTTTCTGGTGAAGGAAAGTCTAATTCTATAAGTTTCAGGCTACAAAAGAGGAAAATTTGTTGTGTCCCTGTCTATACTACACAGTTGCTGTGGATCTTCAGGTGCATCAATCAAGGTGAGATGTATAAATGACAACTGCCTGGCTCCTTTGCACCTTTGAACAACTCCTCTTTAATGGCTCGATGCCTCAGTTTCCCAATGTGTAAAAATGAGAATAATAAAACTCACCGACAAGATTTGGTAAGGAAAAAATAGTATTTGTAAAGAGCCTGGAATGGAAGGCACTATGGAAACAGGTATATATATTGTAGCATTTGCAGTTATAATAGAGAGGTTTGTTTAACACCATTGTCTGATGGCACAACTGATATGAAAAACAACCTGACTGATTCCTGGGTGAGGGGGGGAAGAAAGAATAAGTTTCTAGTTGAATCCTTATAATAAGTACAGCACAATTGAAAAAGATGGGAGGAAAATAAACATATTCAAAGCAGCTAGGAGAATAATAGATAAACTTTGACAGAGGAGTAAAGGAATACTGTACACCACCTAGTGTTTAAATGGGAAGGATTAAACAAACCTTTACCTGCTGCTGGTCTGCTCTAAAGTTAAGTTTAAAATTAATTAGTTTATATGAGGTGATGGTGGAACAGGAAACAGCTGATGTCCAAAAGGCATCTATTTTTTTTAATAGAAACAATATTTCAAAGGAAAACTAAGGAGGACATAGATATTTCATACAATTCTTGGTTATTAGGCAAAAAATTAACCAGAGGATTGTCTTTCTTTTTGACTGCAACATCCCTAACAAAAGCTCGAGGGTCTGGGTTCATCTTTTCTCAAAAACCTTATCCCAGTATGCCTTCCAAGTAATTAGATCTTGGCTGATGATAGACAAGCAAATACCATCTAAGATGACTGAGTCTTCCAAGGTATGAGCACTCACAACTCCATGGTAGGCTGGTATGCTTTGATAACATTTTACTCTAGGCTTTTTGATTTTTTTATTATTATTTTCATTTGTGAAAATGGCTGAAGCTGCTGTAAAACAATGTAACTGCCTGTCTTTGGGAATAGACAGTTAGTCTAAGAAATTAAAAAGTGGTTCTCAAACAGGGGAGCAATATTGCTTAGTCTATGCTGGAAAAACAAAACTGACTGCTTTGTTTCATGAAGGTGTTTATAAGGACAAATAGAAATATGGCTTGATTTTCATTGAACTTCTCTACTCTTAAAGTCACCCGGATCTGCATATCCCAGCCCTTCTGTTAATCAAGCCAATAAACAGCAACCTGGGCAAAGAAAGGGTGTGAATGGGGCATTTGTAGAAGACTTCCAAGGATGTGTGCTCAGTGAAGGGAGGTCAAAAGTCACTGATAAAAATGAAAAGGGTACAGTGTGTAGAAAGATTTGTTATTTGTACCAGTGGACTCAAATTGTTCATGGAACGCAACAAGTGACTCCCAAGTACATAAACTATCCTAGACTATGGCAGAGCTAAACTATTTCTCTGCCAAGTCAATCAGAGCAATTTAGCTCCTTAAGCTAATTTAAAAAACAAAAGCTAAAATCTCCCCTGGGAAGAGACAGTTTAGGAATAAAGACACTGGCTAATTAGGCTTAATTGCATTGTCTCGGGACAAGTGATTTATTAGGCCAATCTAGACCCATGATGGGGCTGCAGGGTTATGTTCTTGGATTCACCATTTGAATGGCAAATATCCAAGAGAATTATTTAGCTTTGGAAGGAGTTTTAGGTTAGGAAGGAGAAGCAGGTTAATGTGCACTTTTCCATTCTATCTTTTCAGCGTTGGATATCTGATGATTTCTTTCTTTGTCACAATTACTGGTATAGTTGATGGGGGGAAGGTGCAAACATGCTATCTCTTAATTTTATTCAGGCTTTTGACACAATTATATGTGACACTTTCATAAGCAAACAAAAGAAATGTCATCTAAATGAAATTATTATAATATGGGTTCAAAACTGGTTGAAAGACTACACTCAAAAGGTAATTATCAATGATTTTGCTGTCATAGTGGTGGGACATTTCCTACATAAGTCTGTCCTGAGTCAGGTATTTTCTTTAATAATTTAGATAATGTTGTGGAAATTGTGTGTAAAAACTTTGCAGATGATACCAGCTCTTCAAGAACAGGATCAGAGTTCAAAAGAACCTTGACAAACTGAAGAACTGATCTAAAATGCAACATAGACAAATGCAAAGTACTACATTTATGAATGAAAAATCCAGTGCATAACTACAAAATGGGGAATAACAAGCTAGGCAGGGGTGCTTTTGAAAAAGGCACAGGGTTTATAGTAAATCACAAATTGAATATGAGTGTCATAATTGCAAAAAACCCTCATAGGATTCTGTGGTACTTCAACCGGACTGTTATATATGCATAAGACATCAGAAGTAATTGTCCTGTGCTACTTGACATTGGTGAGACCTCAGCTAGAGTACTGTGATTGGGGCACCCTTTTTCATGGAAAAGGTGTGAACTACTTGGAAAGAGTCCAGAAGACTGCAAGTAAGGTAAAAAAAAGGTTTAGAAAACCTAACCTATGAGCAGGAGAGTTGACAGCTTCTGTGGGCTCCTGTGCAATGGGGGAAAGGGAGGAGGTGGCTCAGTGTGCATGGAAGAGGTGGGGTGGGGGCAACCAGCCCTCTGTGCCACACTTTTGGTGGCATTGCCCACTCCCCTAGTCCTCAGAGTTGTGCAGAGTGGCCCGGGGCTCCAGTTGTCACTGCTGCAGCGGCAGCTGCTGGGAGCCCTGGGCCCCTTTGAATTGCTGGGGCCCAAGGCAATTGCCCTCCTCCCTCTCCACCCCCACCTCATTGGCAGGCTTTCCTATGAGGAGAAATTAAAAAAACTCAGCATGTTTGGTCCTGAGAAAAGAAGACCTAGGGAGGTACTGATAACAATCTTCATATATATTCACAGTCTGAGGGAACAGTCATCAGTTGTTCTTCATGTCCATGGCAGGTAGGACAGGAAGCAGTGGTCTTATCTGCAGCAAGGGAAACGTAAGTTAGACATTAAGAAAAACTATGAGGATAGGTAAGCACTGGATTAGATTTCCAAGTGATGTTTTGCAGTCCCCATCACAGGTGATTTTTAAGAACAGGATACACAAATACCTATCAGGGATGGTCTAGATATGGTTGGTCCTGCCTCAGCACAGATTATTAGATGAGACAGTGTCTCAAGATCCCATCCAGTCCTACATTTCCCTGACTTATTTAGATGTTAATATCTCTGGGACAAGGAATGTATCTTTTTCAGTTTATAAAAAGCTAGTGTTATGTAGGATTGTGACAGTCAGGCCAGAGGGTGACAGGAGAGTAATGGAGGGGAAATATATTAGCCCCATATTACACTCTGTTCCCAGAAGAGGCTAACAAAGGCTGA